CTAAAAATGACGAAAGCCAAACTGATGAAAGTTTTTTTAAATTATTTTTATATAATATACTAAACAACGTAAAGTAGTTTTAGTATATTAGAAAAAAATAAGTAGTAGTAGTAAAGTGTTCTACATAACATACAAAACAACTTAACAGTAAACTGTTTTATATAACATAGCAAATAACTTAACAGTAAAGTGATTTATATAACATAGCCGGAAGGCTGAATAAGCGTGAATTGGCATAAGTGCGAACTGGCATAAGTGCAAAGCATTGTAAAAACTGGCATAAGTGTGAATCGGCATAAGTGTGCAAAAAAATTGCAAATATTGGTACTTATTTATTGCAAATATTTCGCACTTATGCCAATACACACTTATGCCAATTCAAAATTTTGCTAGTGTTTGTGAATTTATTTGGCACACTTATACCAACTCGTACTTATGCAACTTCGCACTTATACCAATTTCTGTAACTGCTTCGCGCTTATGCCAGTTCACACTTATACCAATTCGCACTTATGCCAATGTTTGCAAATTCTTTTGGTGCACTTATGCCGATTCGCACTTATGCCAGTTTTTGCAACTGCTTTGCACATATGCCAGTTCGCACTTATGCCAATGTTTGCAATTATGCCATTCGCACTTATGTCAGTTTGCACTTATGAAATTCGCGCTTATTCAGTCGTCCCAACATATAACTTAACAGTAAAGTTTTATATAAAATAGAAAACAGTAAAGTTAAGATGACAGCTATTAGTTTTGAAATCCCATTTTTTTTGGTGACCTCAAACATTTTATCATAACCAAGTCCAACTGCCAAAAAAAAAAAAACAGACACTATTAGAAATAACTGCTCTGGATTTGAGTCATATAAAGTCATAAATGTATTTAAAAACTGTATCATAAATAAATTAAAAAGCCATATTTATTAAAACTTATAAAATAATTAAAACTTATAAAAAAACATATAAACTTACAAGAGCTATCTCAGCTTTAAACCTCATGTTCTGATTCTAATTCAGGAAAAAACAGAATGACTGATTTACTCACTCCTTGAGTGAGTAAATCCTTCTTGAATCAATATGGATTAATGCTACAATAGCTGATAAGGCCAATCAGTATAAAAATTTATGTTATCCAATCTATGGATGCCTTTAACAAAGACATCCATAGATTAAAATTCACAAATTACAATGTTTATAAGGATAGGTTTTACATTTTTTAAGGCAGATTTTTAATGACTTATTTGTATACAAAGTTGTCTTTACTTTGTCACATGGTAATGCACAGGTTGAAAGTGGGTTTTCTTTTAATTCAGATGTTCTTGTTGAAAACTTGTACAAGAGCTCTGTGATTGCTCAATGACAAGTATATAATGAAATTTACCATAGTAGAATTTGCAATAAAGAAATAATAAAATTAATAATCAAAAATGTAAACATGTCCCATTTACACTTAAAAGATTAATTCAAAAAAAAAAAAAGAGAAAAAGCTTTGCAGAAAACTAAGGAATTAAATGCCAAATTAAATTAAATGCCAAAAAAATTAAGCTTTAAGTTTTGTTAAAATAGTGTTATGAAAAAATATGGTGCTATGTTAACATGGTGCCAGAAAAAAATCTTATTCAGCCTTTTCGTGATATTGGAAATTAAGGTGTGGTTGGCTGGTTAATAAAAAATTTAAATTAAAAAAAAAAATTGCATTCAAAAATGTTTAAGGCAAAGCAGCTTAAAGTGAATCAAAAGTACACAATCACACTGTGGTTCCTATCTTAAACATTGGCTTATTATATATATAAATGTCAGGTCAGGTTATCCTGCTACTGGTAACATGTAACCACGTACAATCTGCTTCATGTCCTTCTGCCTTGTAGGATACGCGTTTTAAGGCAAAGGCTAGGAGATCCCAACTTTGATATAAAACATTCCTAGCCTTGGGGCTCTTGGTTGAGTAAAGGCTAGAGATGGTGTCTCGATAAAAATACTCATCTTGGGCAGATGTTAAATGCATCCGGCTGCTTTCTTGTAGAAGGCCTCTTAGGCAATGACTTAAGGGGTAAACAGGTTCTACCTGTTGACCAGCCTCCCACCCTTTCTTCATCTATTAGGCTGATGCAGATGTATTTTTAATATATTGTTTCCAGTTAAGGATGTTGAATGCTGAATCTTCTAGACTCGATGCATGGATTTTGCTTGTGTCTGTTTTTATGATTAGGCAATTTATCTATTAACTCCTAATAAGGGTACAGCTCTAAAACTCAGTTTTATGGTTCTGAGGCCAGCTGGTAGTCAGGTTTCCCGAACTCTGTGGTAGCTCTCAGAGAGGCTGATTCCATCAACAGCTGAAAAATATCAAAGTATTAACAGTGCAATGTTGAGCATGGATGGTGTCCCTGTTTGAACTTTTGGTATGCATTGCCAAGGCCATATTGGAGCCCTTTGTTATGACATAGGGTTTAATAGTAGTAATGAGCCAATTGCTTGGGCTATTAAACAGTGTACTGAGTACTATCTATGCTTTGAGTCAAGTTCTTTAACAAATTTAAAAATGAATAAAGTAACAAAAAATATAAAACACAAAAAAATATTGCCACCACCAAGTTCTATAAACCTATCATTTGCTAATATTCGTGGTCTTCGAAGTAACTTTTCTTCTGTTGAATCTTATCTCTTGCAAAGTTCACCAGACCTACTTGCTCTTTGTGAGACTAATTTGAGTTCAGCTGTCTCATCTCGTAATTTTAGTGTTGATGGTTATCTTCCTTTAATTTGTAAAGACTCCAATAGTCACATGTTTGGCCTGGGCATTTACATTCGTAAGAATTCACCCATTTGTCGGGAAATTAGGTTTGAATCCACAGACTATTCTTTTATGTGCTTCATTTAGCACCACTTCACTCTATCACCTTTCTCTTTGTTCTATATCGCTCTCCTTCATATCAAGACTGCACTCTTCTTGATGTTATTTCTGATCATATTGACCAAGCCCTCTCTCTTTATCCATCAGCCAATATTGTTGTTGTCGGTGACTTTAATGTTCATCACACTGAATCGCTTGGTGTCAGTGACTCTGCAGGCATTAAAGCCCACAACTTTTGCCTTTCTCAATCCCTAACTCAAATAGTCAACTTTCCAACTTGCTTTCCAGACAACCTGAATCATTTACCTTCTCTACTCGACTTATGTCTTGTTTCTGATCCTAGTCAATGTTCAGTTTCTCCACATTCACCCTTAGGTGCCTCTGATCACAGTTTGATCTCTCTAAAACTATTATCTCATTCTTCTTCATCATCAGAATCCACCTATCATGGTTTTCCTCACATTGTGCTGCTGCAATTGCCAATTGAAACCGTTACTTCCAAATCTATCAGCAAAACAATACTCCAGAGAACAGACGTCTGTTTATCACTGCTAGGAACCATTGTCAAAAGGTTTTGTCTAATGCCCAAGCCCACTATTCCCAGGTCATGAAATCTCATATTTCATCACAAAAATTAGGCTCTCGTGACTTCTGGAGAATCTTTAATAGTATCAATAATAAGGGCAAGTCTGTAATTCCACCTTTTTTGTATGGTTCAGACTTTGTCTCCTCACCTAAAGACAAAGCTGAATTATTTGCTAAGAACTTTTCATCAATATTATCTCTTGATTCCACTAGTTGTGTTCTACCTGATATAGCTGTCAAACAGGTTGATCCATTGCTTGACATTCGTATCACTCCAGCTTCTGAATCTAAAGTGTATTCCTGCTTAAATTCTTCTAAAGCTTGTGGCCCAGACTGTTATAGTCTTGCAGAAGTGTTCTCTGGAGCTGTCGTCTACTTTTAAAACTATTCAACAAGTGCTTATCAAAGTCTTGTTTTCCAGCCTGCTGGAAAGCAGCATCTATTATCCCTATTTTTAAAAATTCTGGAGAGCGATCTGACTCGCCTAACTACCGTCCCATTAGTCTTCTTCCTAACATAAGCATGGTTTTTGAATCTTTTATTAACAAAAATTTAATTTCTTATTATAAATCTAATAACTTCAATATGGATTTTGATCTTTTCGTTCTACAGCTGATTTGCTAACAGTAATATCTGATAGGTTTTATCATGCATTAGATAGATGTGGAGGGGTTAAGGCTACCGCTCTTGACATTTCTAAAGCGTTGATAAAGTTTGGCATGCTGGTTTTCTCCATAAGCTTTCTTCTTATGGTGTATCTAGAAACATCATAATGATTATTGAATCTTTTTTTTTCAATCGTAGTATAAAAGTTTAAGCTTGAAAAAGATCTCACTTCTGCTACAGCATGGGGCTCACAATGGCTGGTGAACTTTAATTCAGATAAAACTTAATTTTTTTTAGCCAATCTTTATTCCAATAATTTAGACCTTCCTATATTTATGAATGGTAATGTACTCGATGAATCATCTACCTAGGGCCCTGCGAATTGGCAGTTTTTGTTTGGAATCGAATCTCGAATCAAAGCAGGTCTTGATTCGCTATTCGAATCACGTTTCGAATCAACATTTTGAAGTGTAAATTTAAGCATTTTTTATTTAATAATATATATTTCAAAATAAAATAAAATAAAGCAATTGTATAATCTCTTTATCGATTCTTGCCCTGGTTAACCTTTTTAATGACTGATTAAAAAGGTATTTAAGGATAAGTAACGTTATTTTGAAAGCGCCAAAGCGCAGAATATCTAAAATACCCACAATAAAAACAAAATAAGTAAGGATTCAATTTTTAAAAATTTTCGAATCGTATCTCGAATCATATTTCAATTCGATTCGAAATTTTGAAGCTTCGCAGGGCCCTACATCTACCCTTCATCTTCTAGGATTAACTCTTACTTCTGATCATTCTTGTAAACCATATATTAAATCGATTTTAAAATTAGCATCTGCTAAAGTTGCATCTCTTTATCAATCTTGACACTTTTTTACTCTGGATTCTAATCTCTATCTCTATAAATAAAAAATCCGGCCTTGTATGGAATACTGTTGCCATATCTTCTA